CTCCACTCTGAGCACTATCCAAGTTATTTCTTTATACTGCAGCCAAAGTGATTGATTTTCATCAGGGTACATTCAGAACATGTTACTCCTTTGCAACTAAGACGTGTAGTGGCTGCTATATTTGTTTCGGATTAAAGGTCAACCATTTCCCGTATGTCTGAAGTGATGCCTTGTTTGGATCTGCCTGTTTCTTGAACCTCAGGTTAGCTTCTTAATGATGTCCTAGAGCCACTCTGGATACCTCTTGTCCCAGGGGCTTACACAGTTATTTATTATTTAGGGCACATGAGTACCCAGTGACCTCACTGTAGTTGTTCTTTCCTTTTCCTCAGCTCCTTAACTAGATAGAACTGCCCCACAGAGGCCATCCGTGCTCCTCTGTCTGAGCTGGGCAGAGTCACTTGCCACTGCGTTCTTTCTCAGTGCTGCCTGCTATTTCTCACAGCACTTATCACAGTTTATAATTATTCACTATCTTTTTGCTTTTTATCTATTCCTTGCACGAGGATGGAAGGTCCAAGAAAATGGGAAAATATTCTGTTCACCTTTATGTCCTTAAGTCCTGGAAAAGTACCAGGTACTGGGTAGAACTCTGTAAGAGTCTTGGAATAATTAAACAATCACAAGACTGGAGCTGAAGAGTTCTGTTCCTTACCTTAATCTCACCTGATTTGAGATAAAAAGCACAAGTTGTTTATATCACAGAAATCAGTCTGTCCAGGGCTTATAATTCTCAAGCCAGCTGGTCTTCTAGCTTAGTAATTGGGGTTTATTTTCCAAAGTATCATATATTTTAAAAGCCGAGAGAAAACTGCGATGTGTTAATATTTCTGTTTATTTCAGGTTCTTTCTATATCATCAACATTTTCCATTAATTTAAAAATATTCAACATTGATAAATTCAATGCAAAAATTTTTATAAGCAATTTATTCTTTTTTCCAGACTTTTGTTTCCTGGAGTGAAAATCATTTCTAAGAACATCCTGCCTGAGGATGTTTTTAAGTGCATGTTTTCTGAACCAGCCTAGGATTGTAATTTATTGTCTTCTGCCCATTTTCCCCAAAGAATATGAAGCCAGACCATAAGGAGGCACTACCACCTCATGCTGGATAGTTTTCAGTTTTATTGTGAGGGAGACACTGGTTGCCAACACTGGAAGCTAAGGAAATTGACTAGAATGGAGCATAAAATTTAACTGAGTCTTACAGGCAAGGTAGAAAAAACAGGGCTCTCTTTCTTGGTCTCATAAAAACAAATAGCAGTTTCCTAGGAGACAAACTGTTTCCTTCTTTAATATAAAAGACAACATTCATCTTTCCAGCCCCACTGTTTATTTGGCTTTTCTCCATCTTCCTCCCATTTTCTTGCTGGAAGTGCCCTTCATGCAGTGGCCTGGATAAAGCCCTCAGACTGGCCTCTGCTCCTTCCTCAGCTCTGAGAGTCAGAAAGAATGAGTGATGTCTGCGGGAGGTTCCTGTCAACTATAGGAGGTGATTTTTGGACATTAAATACTTAAAACTCACAAAGCCTGCCTGAGCCACTGGAGGTCAATATTTAATATTCTCCTTGTTTTAGCAGCCAGTGGAGTAAACTGAATAACGACTGTCCTGGAGCTGCCTTCAGAGACTTTGATAAGCCCTGGACTGTCACTGCTGCTGAGGAGATACCCTCTCCCCTGTGGTAGGAGACGCTTTGATCACAGGTTATCTGCCAGAGATCCCCAAGAAAGAACAGTGCCAGAAAGCTGGGTTTTAAGCTCATCACTGTCCATGACCAGCTGTGTGGCTCCAGACAAGTTATGTAGCCTCTCTGTGCTTTGGTTTCCTGACTGCGTCATGGGAACAGTTCTCAGTCATTGTAAGAACTAAGTGAGAGGACCCATAAAGCATGCTTGGCCCGGTGCCTGACATACTATAAGTCCTCAATACTTATTCTCTTGAAGTTGACACCTGCGGAGGGCTGGCTGCCCTGGGGAATTGTCTGCTGTTTCTCCCTGCTGTCTGCTGGGTGTGTCTTAGAGATGTCATCACAGATATTCAGGGATTCAGAACACTCTAGACTTGCTAGACCCTCACTGGGTTGCGGATTCCTTGGTTTGCTGCAGACTGACAGGCATGTCCTTCTACATTACATTTTGAGATGACATTCATGAAGCAGCTGATATGGTCTCAGGAGTTAACCTTGTGGCTCCAAAACAGAAGGTGGCAAGCCTTCCTAACATCCCAGAGTGCCTCCCTTCTATAGTGGAAGGGGTCAGCTGGCTGCCAATGCCCCTAAAGCGATAGCTAGTCTTCCAGGTTTACTAGTGATAGCTAGTCCCTGAGGTTTACTAAAATGTGGGGGACCTTCTGCTGGCTCCCCTCAGCTTGACTTGGTGCTGTGAGATTGGTCTCCCAAAGAGGGTCAGTCAGGCTTTTCTCAATATGCCCAGAGTAGGCCTCTTCCAATAAGTGTCAACTTGGTATGGACCACAAATATTAACTGAAGCCCCATGGACCCCCCCAAAAGTCTGTCACCATGGCTCAGAGAATGAAGCTATTTCAAGTTAAGAGTAGTGAAGGCCCTACAGGTTGAGAAGAACTTTTGTCTTTGTCTCAGTCCTTTGATCTATTTCCTTATGAAAGAAGCAATCACTGCCCCCTAACCCCACCCCACCTTTTATGACCTAGTAGAATCTAATTTGGGGGGGATATCATCCAGGGGTAGGGTGGTTAAAGACCATGTCCTCTCTATGTCATCACTTTCTCTGAGTAAAAGGATGAGCTCATGCTCTCCTTGCCATATGAAGTCACACCTTCTTTATCCTTGACACCCAGGTCTTTAAACACAGGATAGATATCCCACATTTACCCCATTTTACTTTAGTATAACAACCATGTTCATTATCTATAAATATGTCATCAAATTGATTTTTCCTTTTTTAACCCATTTGACTTTTGTTTTGATGACTTGTTCAGTCCAAGAAGAACCCAATGGGATAGGGACTTCCCCTTGGGCCCTGCCAGTGCCAACACAGAACCTCGTTTCTTGGAAGGGAATGAGATTACCTGTTTGCAAACTCACTCTTGTTCTGACTTTGATGCCTTAGATTACTCCCCAGTGTTGCTGGAGGCTGTCATCTACTTCCTCTCCTCTCCTGCTCACTCTTCATGCCGGTCCACTACTCTTTGCTGCATCTCCCTGGCAAGCTGACAGCACCATCCAACTCCCTGCTTCTCTCTCCTGGTTTACTGCCTGTTTTTGACAATCTGGCTTCAATCACCAGCAGCCTTGGAGGAGTCCATCCATCACACCCACACTACTAGCAGGTGATTCTCTGAAGCTCTGCGTTGTTTCCATCTGACTGGCTGGGAAACATCTTTTCCTTTCACACTGCTTCCCCTCCCCTTAATTGTCTGAGTCTAAGTCACCTCTGGTCATGACATCCCTGAAGCACACACTCTACAAAACCTGGGTGTGCCAGCATTCATGGACGTGGGAATGCAGGTCTCATGTACACATAAGAAATGTGTACATTGGTCTCATTCCCCACTTCCTAACACAGACCTTCCAAATCCAATCTAAAGAGGGTGCTGTAAGAATCTGTTGTTCTACCATTGAGTTTAACATTTGCCCACTTCCAATACAGAACTCCTAAAACCCTTGGAATTTTCAGGGTGACAGCAGTGTATTTTATTCTAATGAGGAGGTTCTGAGTGAACCTCTCTGGATGGGTTGGGGGGATAACCAGAAAAACAAGCTATCAGAAACTTGGAAACTTCAACCCCACCCTTCATTTCTAGAGAAAGAGAGGGGCTGGAAATGGGGTTTATGACTGAGCTTGCTTATGTGAGGATGACTCCATACAAATGCCAATTGTGAGGGATTCAGAGTGTCTAGGTTGGTGACCCCTTTACATGCAGGAGAGTGGTATACCCCAACTCAATGGGGAAAGAAGCTCCTGCACATGGAACCCTTTTGGACCCTGCTCGAAGTTTCTCTGCATCAGGTTGTTCATCTGTCATTTATCATGTTCTTTAATAAAAAGGTAAATGTAAGTACTTCCCTGAATTTTGTGAACTGTTCTAGCAACTAATGGGACTGAAGAGGTAGTCATGGGAGTCTCTGCCTTGTACCCAAATCAGGCAGAAGTTGTGCGTAAATGGGACTCTCTACCTGAAATTGGCATCTGATTTGGGGGAAAGGCAGTCTTGTGGGACTGGGGTCTGTGCTCATTCTAGTTAGTGTCAGAATTGAATTGCATCGTAGGACACCCACTAGTGTCACCAAGAATTGCTTGATATGTGGAAAATCTATACATTTGGTGTCAGAAATGTGAGTGTGGCAATAGTGTGAGAAGGAAGAAGAAATACATGGATCTTCTGTTTCCTGGGAAATTTTTTTTTAAAGATTTATTTATTTATTTATACAAGCACTGGGTACAGTCAGAAGCGTGGGAGGGTGAGAGAATTCACCAGAGCCAGAGCGGGGAGCAGAGCAGGCAGATGGACAAAATACACTGCTGAGGGGAGCAGCGGGCGGCAGGAGAGGTCTGCGTGCCATGTGGGACCCTCCTCCGGTGGCCGGGGAGCAGCCGGGGATCGAACCGGCGCTGCAGAGGCTGCGGGCAGCTTCACAACCCAGCGTTCAACCACTGCGCCACCAGGGAGGCCCTTCCTGGGAATTTTTAAAGCTGGTTTGAGTTATTTCCCATGAAGGAATCCACCTTCACATACAAATGCATCATCTGCTTGTGGGTCCTGAGAATTCTGAAATTCTCCATTTCTTCTTCTACTGTTTACATAGAAGAAAACACCTTTCTAGGTAAATATATGCCAGTTCTTCTTGGCATGTGAATCTATATCTCAAATGATCCCCCTTCTGTAGTCAATAGTAGAGAATATAGGTTTGTGATAAAGAATGGGGTATTTGTCTAGAGATCAGGGTACAGTTCCCACTCTACCCCTTATTCAACAGGTATCTCTACATGTGTCACTTTTCCTCTCTAGGCTGAGTGGTTTTATATTCCTGGAATGAGAATCACCAAGACTTCAAAGGGAAGGGACGTGATGATTGAACATGATGGTATACTTGCTACAATATCTGGCAGTTCTAGAAAACCAATAAATGTGAGTTTTTCAACTGGTCCCAATCAATACAAAGAAAGGATCAAATATGATCATGTCTAAGTAGGACTTCTGAGTTTCTTTGGATGGATTACTTATTTTTTAATGTTGAGAAGTGTTTATAGAATAACATCAAAATGCCTTTTTCTCACCAGAGGGCTTGCAACTGTTTTGCTTAGGAGATGAAGCAGAGAATGTGACCAAATAGGGACCACTTTTGTCATTCCAGACACTCACTTATTCAGACACTTAATTTGTATCTTGTCTCCACCCCAACTTAAGATTGACTAATGTCTATTCTTACATTCAAATCACTCACCATTCCTGTTTTCTTGCTGCCCATCCAGTATAAATTATTTTTTTTTTTGGTGGAGGTTATGTTGGGGGAAAGGATGTCCTAAACAAACTCCACAAATAGGTTTTATGGATCCCACCCTCACCCCAAACCAAAGAGATCCAAGACACTAAGGACTACATTTGTCATCACTAAGGCCCATTTGTCATCACCACCAAAGGGAGGATTGCTAAGAAGTGAGGGTGGAGTTAGGCAGCCAGGCTTGGTATATGGCCAGACATATGGACCTTGGGGGTCCTTGCTTTTTCACCAGCTTTCAGTGTGCTATTGGGGTTTCAGCTCAGTGGAACCAGTAGGATGTATTCACCAATTTATCTCTTTCTCCCTGAGTTATTCATTTCTTCATTTCCATTTTTTTGTAAATAAACCCTTTATTACCCTTTTTGTGTGTAATGGCAGTTGAGTCTCCTTAAGATTTATTTATGCATACAAGAACTGGGGTACAGGCCAGCAGTGTGGGGGGTGAGAGGATTCACCAGAGACAGTGGGGAGCAGAACAGGCAGACTGACTGAAATACACTGCTGAGGGGTGCTGCGGGCAAGTGCGGGGAGGTCTGCTGCGCCATGTGGGTGGCTCCCTAGCCGGGGATCTAACTTGTGCTGCAGTGGCTGCAGAAGGCTTCACAGGTTGCTTCTTAACCCCTTGTGCCACCAGGGACACCCAGCAGATGAGTCTCTTATAAGTCCCTTTTAAGTGCGGGTGAGGACACCTAGTCACATTGGGGTTGCCCTGTAACATTTTCATGTTTGTTACCTCCTCTTTGTGGATTGATCTTGCTTCCTATGAGTCCAGTAATAATCCAGTAATAATATTAAAACTATACCTTATGTGTGGCTTAATTGTTTTGATGGGACAGGCACTTTGCAAGCAAGTCACAATGTTACTGGAAATAGATGATTATAATTCTTGATTATCTTGGGACACAAAAGAAATTACCCTATACCCCTCTGGTTCTTCTAGGCTGGCAAGAAATCAAACAAGCATCAGACAGATTGACAAGACAAAAAGCCAAAGAGAAGTTTAATAATAGCATGTATACCTCCTGTCTATGCCGAGAGAACCAGCATGACTGAGAACTCACAGCCGTGGATTCAGACACCATCTTAAATAACTGAAATAAGACAGGAGGCTGGAGAATGAAAAGAAAGGTCAGTTAGGAAGTCTACCAAAGAAGTGAACAAAGTTACAAAGTTGTGCAGATTTAAATTCTGCCTTCTCCTTTGAAAAGTGATAAGGAGATTAGATATTCTTGGGATGTTGTGTTGACACCACCTCACTGACAAACAGGAATTGGGAATCATGGAACAAGCTGTCAGATGCAGGATGCTGGCGGAGGAGAGCAAGATCCTGGCCTTTTTATTGGTCGAATAATCATACAGCATCAGTTGTGAGGGGAAGGAGGACAGAAAGAAAAAGGAGGGGTGAAAGTAGAAAATGTGCGCTGTCATCTATAGTACTGGGGTTGTGAGTCTGCCCTCCAGGCACTTCTCATCTGCTTGATGACTTGCTATTGTAGTTGAGATCAAGCCCTTGCTCCCCAGCCATGGTTTCAATCTTATCAACAAGGTTTTCCAATGATCAGCTTCTGGGGGTCCCTTGTCATACATTGGTCCTGGGCACTCCCCCACCGCGACCCCAGCCACCCCGGTCATACCTCATGATGTGTAAGTCGGTAGTAAGGTTATGTATCAGTCACCTCCGCCACCCCACCCCCCACCCCGCGTTCCTGGTCTTGTGATGCATAGCCTTCCCAGGATGATCAAGCTTTAAGCTCTTGATTGATTTGAAAGGCACCTTGTAAGGTTGGGCTCAGGCAGTTCTGACCTTGTACAGGAAAGCAGAACTGCAGGTAACAAAAAATAGTGGCCAAACAGGCCACTTAGATCAGCAGACCCACACTGGGAGAGGCTCTTATACACAGAAGTTTGCATGTAAATGTCTTTTTTTCAAAAGCTACCTCCACCCAGCCTTCAGAGTCCCTCCCATGAAATCGACCTATTGCCAAAAAGATAAATTCGGAGTAGCTGACTTTTTGCTCCCCTACAATTCCATTTTGATGACTTAAATTTTTTTTAAGTCTCACTCCATAATATACATTGTTGTAAGAATTAGGGTCACTATAGTTTTAATGATCATTCACATTTAGAGTGGGGAGAATGGGAGATCTATGGTAGCTCCTGGTGGTGAGCGACACGGAAAGCCTCACATTCTGAGGAGTTTCTGGCTTGTTCTGGAGGATGCTCCTTTATGAGGCATATTTCCATTGTAGTTCTTCCCAGCCCCTGACTCAGTCTTTTGGGATGTTATTCTGTTTGTGTTGTTCTCCCTGACTGGAGTATATAGTGGGCACAGTTGTTACATACTTTATTAGCCCAATGATTTGAGGTCTTGGGGGACCCCAGTGGCGTTTTAAGTCTTGAACAGTCAGTTACTTTGATTCCAGACTCTTGACAGCACAACACTGTTAAACACTTAACAGTCTTCTTAGTTGTTGGAGTCCATTTAATTCTATGTGACTATGGCCATTCTCATCCTTCAGGAGATTGTCAAACATTTGTTCAACAGACACAAGCTGTTGAACTCAGGAGCCAGGGCGATTCACACCACTGTCCCCTTTATGACACATATTATCTCTCATTCTGGAGAAATCCATGCAATCCATGCTGCTTCTGTTCCTTCATCTATAAGCTCATGATACAAATAATACCCTTTTATGCCTTGTAGTGAGGGTTAACTGAGAAGATGCACATAAAAGGGCTGGTACAGGACAAGAGCTGAGTAAAATGTAGCTGTCTTGGTGAGTGTGGTGGGAGATCTCTGGTGCCCTGCAGGTCCCCCATTCCTGCTCTGTCCCTGGGGGGAGGCCCTTGGCCTGTCACATTCCTACTGATTCTTCACTTGCTATTTCTGCTATTAAACTTTCCCTCACCTCTCAGCCATATTTTGTCTTTGCCCTCAGCAGGGTTCTGCCCTTCTGTTCATCCCTTATTTGTGTCTTTTAATATGATGGGTTTTCTATTTCTATGCTTAATGCCCACGTAGGCAATGGGGGGAACCTGTCCTTACTTGGTGCTATTTTCTTTCCTGCCTCACCTTGTACTAATAGATTCTCTCCTAACAGTTGACTGAATGGAATTCATACCAGCAACCCCACAGGACTTGTGGCAGATCCCTTGAGATTGAGTTTGGCTATTTGCTTCAAACACCTGCCCAAACTGCTCAAATGGAAGGGGGGAGATTTTTCTTTTCTTTTCTTTAAGATTTATTTATACAAGAGCTGGGGTACAGGCTAGATGCATGGGAGGGTGAGAGAATTCACCAGAGACAGAGTGGGGAACAGAACAGGCAGACTGACAAAATACACTGCTGAGGGGAGCAGCAGGAGAGGCAGGAGAGGTCTGCTTGCCATGTGGGTTGCTCCGAGGTCAGAGGGGATCGAACCAGCACTGCAGAGGCTGTGGACAGCTTCACAAGGCTGCGTTCAACCACCTGTGCCACCAGGGAAGCCCAGGGGAGAGCATTTTTCCTCACACAAATGAGGAGATGGGCCAGTGCAGCTATTCAATAGTGTCTTCAAGACCATAGGCTCCTCCTCTCTTTCTGCTCTGCCATTCTCTCAACCTCAGGATTATAAGAAGGCAGCTTCAACTCCAGCCATTGTATCCACATTCCAACTAGTACAGTGAGCATAAGGCAATAGATGAACATGACCAGCATCCAGTCACTTTTAAGGAGGTCCTAGGAAGCTCCACCAGTGATTTCACTTGTTTTCTCAGCCAGCACTGGGTCACAAGACTGCTTTTAGCTGCAAGGGAGGATGGGAGATTCAGTATTTAACCAGACATATTGTTTCACCAAAACAAGTCAGGTTATTTTAGAAAGGGAAATGAGGTAAGAGTTTGGGCAGGGGACAAGCAGGTGAAAACAATAGAAACTGATGCTGAGCAACCTGAGGAGAGAGGGCACTGAGGTGGCTCAGTGGCTCAGTGGCTCAGAATAGAAGTGACCAGTTGGAGTTTGAAGAAGGAGGCCAGGGGTGCTCTAATAAAGCAAGCTCCCAGTGCTTCTGTTCCCAACTGCAGATTCCTGGGGTGGGGACAATAGCTCAGCTGAGGTTCCTGCTTTCCCTGCTTACTTGGGCTTGGTGAGTTGCAGGATCAGGAAGCAGAGGCAGCATTTAGAGTTTGACTACCCCTGGGGATTAGGTTTAGTTCCCCCCAAAAAGGGAATTCTTGAAGACAGGCAGCTATTATCATTGGTTTTGGCATAGAAACACTTAACTCAAGGACTAGGGAGTTGTTCTGCTGATTTCTGGAGTCTCTGATTTCAGATCTCACTGGGAATTCTCACTTGTTCCCAGCACGTTGACAGTATCTAAAGGAGTTTTGTCTAGCTGGCTCTAGATGGGTTTATTCAATTTTTAAACTGGGAGAAAAATAGTTTAATTCAGTATGGAACACACCAAGTCTCATGGATGGTTAGAAGATAAGAATTTCAGCCAATGGGCTTGGCATCAAAAGCTCATCACAGTAATAAGATTCTTAATGTTGACCAAGAACGGTTGACTTTGTGGATTAGCCTGGTAAAGGGAAAGAGAGCTGAATATTACCCCATTGGATCAAATTTCTAAGGATGAATGTGACTTTCTTTTGTAAAATTCCATTATTTCCTTTTTATTGGTCTGTTCTTTTTCATACCTGAAGGTTTGGGAAGTAGGAAGTGTCTCTGCATTTGTGTTCTTGCTACTATAGTACTTTTATCATCATCAAATAAACCCGGATACTCATGATTAACAGAGTAAAGTGTTATCTGTGATTACAGATTTGGTTTGAGTCCTTGATTACTATTCCCAGCAGTGTGAATGTGGGCTAATCGAGCCAATGAACTTTGGTATATTGGTATATTTGGTACATTGGGTATGATGGATATCTGCCAGTGTTAGTCCTTGCTAGTTTCTGTGTGTGTGTGTGTGTGTGTGTGTGTGTGCGCGTGTGTACACACACATATAAATTTGTAATACCTTTGTCCTACCTGCTTTATTACTTACCCTTATATCTTGGCAGTTGTTTCTTATCTGTCTATATAAGTTGACCTCATTCTTTGTAATGGCTTCCCATATATAATCTATGATTGTGTTGTCCTTTATTTAACAGACTCCTCATCAGTAAATGCTTCTAAAACTTTGCTATTAGAAATCATGCTGCAACCTCAGATAGTCCTTTACACATATATGAGAATCTATTGGGTTGTCAGAAGGTCATGATGTATTTTTTCTGTTTCTCAAGCAAAAATGCGTCATGACTTTTCTGACAACCCAATATCTCTATTGGCATAAATTAGCAGTGGACTTGCTAAGTAAAGGGCACATGAATTTTCAGTTGTTATGGATACAGCCTAATTGTCCACCAGAATGAGTGTACCATTTTATACTTCACCCACAACAGCACAGGAAAGCCTGTCTCTTACATGCTCACCTATACCCTGTTGTCATTTTTGTTTTCAAATTTGTCAATATGATAAAATATTATTTCATGGTTTTAAATTTCTTTAATTTTGACTGTGCACATATGTTTAAAATCTATTTGCATTTTCTTTTCCTCCAGGTCTCTATTCATACTCTTTGTGTTTTGGGGGAATGAGAAAATTTGTTCTTCGGGTATTGATTTGTCAGAACTTTTGATGGATTGAGGAATTTACTGTTGTTTCACACTGCATTTTCCTGCTCTGTTTGTCTTTTGATTGTTGTATTGTTTTGAAATTTTTATGTAGTCAGTTATCTGTCTTGTCCTTTGAGGTTTTTGAGGCTTTTGGTTTATATCTCATGTTTTAGCTTTCTCCACTCCAGTATTATTTTTTAAAATTGCAATGCTTTCTTTGATGACGTTGACATCTTTTTTTAAACCTTTTGATGCATTGCCATCGATTTTGGTGTAAGTCGTAATGATCCTGCTGTACTTTCTCCCCATGCCTGGCCACTTGTCCCATTGCCATTTATGTAACAACCTTCAGGGGCCCACTGCCTTTCACTGTTCCCTTTCATCACGTAAGAAAGTCTTTGTGTTGGAGAGGTTAGAGGTAGGATGACTTGGATTTTGAGTTCTGTTCCATTGATCTGTCTGTCTTTTCCTGCAAAAGCCAGTTTGAACAT